CCCCCCCCCCCCCCCCCCCCCCCCCCCCGAGAATGGAACTGGAGACAATATCCTGCAATCCCAAATAAAGAATGTTCGATCGGTAGGAAAACGGGGTGGGGAATGATTCCCGCATCGCATCAACTCCAAAAGGACATTGATCTGATCACTAACGCTTGGTGGCAGTGCAGAAGACCTTCCAAGCTACATTTCTGCTACAGATTAAAAGTTGTGGTGGCCCGCCAGCGGCCAGCAGAGCTGGTAGCAGACTCGGACAGTTAGGAGGTTGGGGAGGAACCATGGGCCAGTCCTGAAGTTTGGGGAAAGTTCTGACCAGGGCTTTGCATTGGAGGCAGAGATGGAGCCAGAGCCATCCAGCAGTTATCAGCTGCCTTCAGAGTCGGAGATCAGTGGGGAAGAAGAACAGCTGGAGCCTGTTCCCAGTGTGCGCATGCACAGAACTGCCAGGAGAAGGGAACAGTTAAGGAACCAGGGTTGACTAGGGAGTAAAGGCACAGGTGGGTGGTGAATGGCCCTTCCCAGAGGAAATAAAGAAAAGCAAAAGGGGAGTGGTGTTTGCAGGAGAAAGTTCAATTCATTAGGGTGATGATCTGTTCCTGACTTTTTGCTAAGTAATTGCTGCTACAGCATGGCCTTTGGAAGCTATCAGCCTGGCAACTCTCCAAGCCTAATAAAGGTCTGTAGTTGTGAAATCTCTTGAAAGACTGTTTGCCAGGACTTTGCTGGAGAGGAATTCCCTTTAACCGAAATAAAAGAGGGTTTTATTGGGACGAGGAGTCGGCTTCGTGCTTTTGGGAAGCTTGGGTCAGAACAAAAGCTGAAAGGTTAACACCCAGCCTAACCTGACCTCTTTCATCTCTTGCAGTGGCAATTCCAACCATTGGAACCCAGTATTCCATGTTCCAAGCCACACCAGGCACCAAGGTGATCGACGATGGGAAGATCCATGCAGTAGAACATATCATCAGTCCTATCAGTGTCCAGCAGGATCCAGCAAGTGCCGCGGCTGCTGCCGCAGTGGCAGCAGGTGCAGTCATACCTGCAGTTTCCACCCCACCTCCTTTCCAGGTATGTTTTTTTTTTCCAAAAAGGTGTGGAAACACCAGCCCTTTCTAGTCCTGCAGGTAAGAGAACACTGGCTTGTATTAAGAGGAGGAGACCTCTTGGCTAGCAAATACAGGTAGTCCCCGACTTACGACCACAGTGGACCCCAATATTTATGTTGCTAAGTGAGAAAGTTTACCCCATACACGAGTTTTGCCCATTTTATGATTTTTTTCCTGTTCCCTTTGTTAAGTCAATTTCTGCAGTTGTTAAATTAGTCACACGGTTATGAAGGAGATCTGGCTTCCCCATTGGCTTGGCAGGTCAGAAGTTCATAAAAAGGGGACCACGTGGCCCAGGGACACTACAACTGTCGTGAATACGAACCCATTGCCAAACATCCAAATTTTGATCACGTGACCATGCGGATGCTGCAACGGTGTGAAAATCAGCCACGGGTCACTTTTTTCAGTGGCGTTGTAACTTTGGATGGTCACTAAAGGAATCATCGTAAGCCAAGGTCTACCTGTAGCGGGCACATATTTGAATCTAGAAACTACAATTGGCGCCTTCGCCCTTTTGTTATGGTTACCACCTTGGTTTTCTGACATCATCTTCTTTTAACAACATCCCTTGCCGAGTGGAGTCTGGGCAACTGAATGGAGCTAGCAGAGTGTTTACTGGCCGGATGCCCTTCCTGTTTCCAGAGGGGGAGTTTTGTTCAGCAGATATATTCTCATTGTGCCCAGAGAGAGAAATACCTGCCTCTACCTAAGATCGAACCTTGGCTTTCTGACATCCTTAGGGGAAATCTAGTTCCTTTTACAGATGGTGGCAGGATTAACTCTTGAACGCTCTCTCCCTCAGGGCCGTCCGATAACTCCCGTGTACGCCATGGCGCCTAGTATGCAGAGAATTCCAGCCACGGGAATCTACGGCGCAGGCTACGTTCCATTCGCGGCTCCTGCAGCTGCCACCACAATTGCCACACTACAGAAGAATGCAGCCGCCGCTGCCGCCGCCGCAGCTTATGGGGGATACGCTGGGTACATTCCCCAAGCATTTCCAGCTGCCGCCATTCAAATCCCCATCCACGATGTCTATCAAACCTACTGAGATTTGCTGGCCATTGGGGGTGGATGGGGGTAGATCGAAGGTGAAGGAACATTTTACTATTTATGAAGAAAAACAGAAAAACCTACTGTAGAATTCTATGCTTGGATGTCAGTAAACTGAGGATAAAATCCTGGAAGTGAAGTTTCTCAGCGAGACGGCATCGCGTTTGAAATCTTTTATACGGACGAAGTTTTTACTAACTTTGTAGGCCCTTTTTGTTTTTGTTTGCTTTTTTGTTTTTAAGAAAGAAAGAGAGAAAAAAAGTAATGCGAATCCCTACATTTCTAACATGGCTGGTTTTTTTTAAGGCTGTGCTTCCCTACAGGTTTATATTCCATTGTAGGAGTTTTTTTCCCCCCACTTTTTTAGCCGTTTTATTTTTGCTGCGTTTGTGCTATAATGAAGGTTATTTTTTAGTTAAGTTCTGCACTCCAGAATTGTGTATTTTGTAGGGCCTTGAATAATATATCAAGTAAATATTAAAAAATAGGTGGGGGGGGGAGTTTCTAAAACAATATATTTTGAAGACTATATTTGATATTTAAACCTTAATGCAAAAGATTTTTTTTAAAAAGTTATATATATATATATAGAGAGAGAGAGAGAGAGAGAGAGAGATAGATAGATAGATATACTTATAAAATGTTGTGTTTTATTTAAGAAGTGAAACTGGAAAGTGCAATTTGAAAATTATTTAGACCTCTGCATTATTGGCTGGCATTGATGAGATTTCTGGGTTAATCTAGAGGCATGATGGGGAACCTATGGCACGTGTGCCATAGGTGGCACGCAGAGCCATTTGTGCCTGCATGCGAGCTGCAGATAAACTTACCTCACTGCATATATGCATGCCTCACAGCTGATTTTCAACCAGTTTGAGGCCTTTTACGGCCTCCCAAACGTTTGTGGAAGGCTTCTGCGGGCTTCTGCAAGCTTTGCAGGACGAAAACTAGCCCCGTTGCATCACTTCCGGTATTTCTAGAAAAACAGGAAGTGACAAAATGGGGCTAGTTTTCAGCCTACAAAGCTTGTAGAAGCCTGCAGAAGCCTTCCTCAGGCCATTGGGAGGCCGAAAAAGGCCTCAAACTGGCTGAAAATCTGCTGTGAGGTGCAGTGCAGGTAAGGGGGCGGCGGGAGGTTGGGGGATTGTGTACGCATGCGTGGGGGATGTGGGGGGGCATGCATTGCCTTCTAGGTGCTGGCACACAAGAGCGAGCATGCAAGCGCACGCACAATTTTTGGCACAGGAGCCCAAAAAGGTTAGCCACCACTGATCTAGAGCCACAAGTGTCCTTGTAGAGACTTCCCATTAAATACCAGATCCTGTTAAAACGATACTTAAGGTTCAGGATAATTTTTATTTTGCATTCTCCAGAGAGTCATGTTCATTTTTTTTTTCCATTTTCACACTAAGTGCATAAGTCATTGGTGCCTTCGGAAAAAAAATATAATTTTTCTTTCATTTATTACAAAGGCTGATACTCCTAGGATGGGTGGGTGGAGGAAACAAAATCACAATATGTGAACTTTGAGAGAGCTTTGATTGTTGCAAGTCCTAGCTGCAGGTTTCATTTTTTTTTCCCCAGCCTGGTTACTTAACATTGGAAACAGTAGACATTTGGTCCTGTCCTATCCTGAAGCTCAGGGATTATTCAAGCATAGAATCACAGTTTATTTAGCCATTCCCTTTCATGAGGATCTTAGTTGAATAATAATTTTTTTAAAAAGTCTTGGAACTTTTTGTCCATGTGAAAACAGCACTTGTTTTATCCAAATTCTCTAGCATAGTCAACCTTTGCAATTTTAAGAGGGGTGGACTTCAACTCCCAGAATGCTCCAGCTAGCATTCTCTAGCATTGTGATGGTGAACCTATAACACGCATGCCACAAGTGGCACGCAAAGCCATTTGTACTGGCATGTGAGCTGCAGGCAAACTTACCTCACTGCGCATGCGTGCGCCTCACAGCTGATTTTGGGGGGGCGGTTGGTTTGAAGTCTTTTTCGGCCTCCCAGAGGCTTGGAAAAAGCCTCTGCAAGGCTTTTTCAGGACGAATTATAGACCCATTTCATCACTTCCTGTAATACCAGAAATGACAAAACGGGCCTATAATTCGTCCTGAAAAGCCTTGCAAAGGCTTTTTCCAAGCCTCTGGGAGGCCAAAAAAGGCCTCAAACCAACTGAAAAATCAGCTGTGAAGCACAGTGCAGGTAAGAGGGTGGCGGGGGGGAATTGTGTGCAAATGCGCAGGGGGTGTGAGGAGGTAGTGCGCACATTGCATTCTGGGTGCTGGCACGTGAGTGTATGCATGCAGGTGCGCACGCAATTTTTGGCACAGGAGCCCCAAAAGGTTATCCACCACTGCTCTAGTATTTCTGTTTCTTAAATTCCTTCCTTGCTTAAAAACTGATATAAAGAATGAAAAGGCTTCGAAAACCAGAATAGAATTGTCGGCTCCTAAATTTATATTCATCCGAAATCCGTATTTCCAGATCAAACAGACCTTAAAGAAATGCATCAACAGTAGCTTCTAAGCCAGTCCTCCCAAAGGTGTTTTTTTTTTTTTTCAAAAAGCAGCTGGACTTTCTTTGTTTTCCTTGAAGACATTTTGCTTCTCATCCAAGAAGCTTCCTCAGTTCAGAATTGAAGAAGCTTCTTGGATAAAAAGCCAACATCTTCAAGGAAAACAAAGAAAAAACACACCCTTGGAACAACCATGAGCTGGATGACTGACATTCTAAACCATAGTTTTGAGCAAGCTAGAGTCAGTTTTGGGGTCAGATAAAGTAACAATAGCTTGTTTAACCTGGTTTTGATTGATTCTGCTTCTACCCTTTTCCAAATATCCTGCAGCTGCAGAGGCCACATTTCACTAGGTATTTGGGGGGGTGTTCTGACCTAGGCTTCACAAAATCATGAAGCTGACTCCTCATCCCAAATAAACCCCTTCTTATTAGGCTAATGTGAATTCCTATCATTCACATCCAGCAAATTCCCAGCAAACAGTCTTTCAAAGGTGAATTACAACCATAGACCTTTATCAGGCTGGGAGAGTTGCCAGGCTGATATCTTCCAAACGCTACGCTGTAGCAGCAATTTCTTGGCAAGGAGTCTCTGAGAGTCACGAACAAAACTTTACACTAATTAAACAAACTAATTCTCTCCTGCAAACATCACTTCCCTTTCGCTCTTTTATTCCCTATGGGATGTGCCATTCACCATCCACCTGTGCCTTTACTCCCGAGTCGACCCTTGTTCCTTAACTGTTCCCTTCTCCTGGCAGCTCTGCGCATGTGCACACTGGGAACAGGCTCCAGCTGTTCTTCTGCCCCACTGATCTCCAACTCAGAAGGCATCTGGGAAATGCCACTGATCTCTGCCTCCAACGCAGAGCCCTTGTCAGAGCCTTCTCCAGACTCCAGGACTAGCCCATGTTCCTCCCCAACCTCCTCACTGTCCGAATCTGCCACCAGCTTCACTGGCCGCTGGTAGGCCACAACAGGATGCCTGTGTGGTTTTCAGGGGCATGTGGGGATGGGTAAAAAAAAATCAAGATCAAGATGAGCCACGCTCTCATTTTTACACTACCTTGTAAAGTGGTTCAATCCCCATCATATCCCACAAAGCCTTCTTTTTGTAATGGGTGTGTGTGTGTGCGTGGTACAATCCTGTCCCAATGGTTGGGGAATTAAAAGGGCCATGGAAGGAGATTCAGCTGGACTTTCAGGAGAACTTTCTTCCTGAGAGAAGTGCGGCCCCCAAACCTTGTTGCAACAGAGAGGCTCGGCTTGAAAGCATGTGTGCAAATGCAGTTCATTGTGTGCCCAGCTGTTTAAGTGGAATCTTCCAGAATCCCAACTCAGGCGTTGACTGTGGGTTTCAGGTAGCCCTTGAGTGACGACCATAATGGAGCCTGCCCATTATGTGATGGTCGTAAGGCGAATCAGTCACATGACCGACCTCCTTTCTCAACCTTTTTTGCACTGCTCTTAAGCAAACTCTGAAATTGGAACAGTTCGCCCTGGGCCATGTTTTGCCAAAAACTGGAAGCAAAAGCTGGTTTTTGTTTTTGTTTTTTGTGAGGGGAGACTGACATAGAACATTGTCACGTGACTGTGGGATACCACAAATGGCCATCAATGGATGGTCAAGTGACCTCTGGGGGCGTGGCCATTGAAACTTTGAATCTGGGTTGTAAATACCTGCCCTCCCCCCAGATAGGTTTACTAAGTGATCCATCATAAATCAAGGACTATTTGAAATACACAGTCAGCACCTGAGTTGGGAGAGCTGTGGTGGCGCAGTGGTTAGAGTGCAGTACTGCAGGCTACTTCTGCTGAATGCCGACTGCCAGTAGTTCGATTCTCACCAGGCTCAAGGTTGGCTCAGCCTTCCAACCTTCTGAGGTGGGTGAAATGAGGACCCAGATAGTTGGGGGGCAAGATGGCTGACTCTGTAAAAACCACTTAGAGACGGCTGTAAAGTATATAGGTCTAAATGCTACTGCTATTGCTACCTGAAATTCCTCTGGCGAAGTCGGGGTACGATTTGTGACTGCTATTTCAGTGAACAAATTCCTGGACCTTTAAGGCTAATCTTTCGCCAGTAGATCTTGAAAGGCTAACCCAGAATGTTAACCTTTTCCAGAAGTGTCTTCCCACAATTAATTTTTTTTAAAAAACAACCTTGCAAAATATATTATGAAAGTGACCAAGGGCTGTCATTCACTTTTTATATATATAGCCTTGAAAAAAATCTCCTGTGGTTGGAATGATAGCTCTACCTCAAAGACCTGATTTTTGTATTTCCCATAAGAGTTAATGTGCCTTAAGCTAGGATTGTAAATATCTCAGCTCAAAGATTTCACCTTTTCTGCATACCACAAGTGCCTACCTTCACACACACAACACCCCTCATGGAAGGCAAAGACAAAAAACGTGGTGACAGCTATAAAAACACAGGTGGGCCCTGATTTAATTGAGGAATAGAGTTCTGCGAACCAGTGCCCAAACATATGGAAGACAAAGCTGTGAGCTCCAGTGTGTTTCCTGGTTTTATTTTTGATCTCAGCCTT